TTCCAGTATGTAAACGCAAACGTAGCCGGTCCGTAAGTCGGTGAGCAAGCAGTGCGTCAACACGCGAACAGACAGGCAGGCACAGAACTGGTGCAACTGTTACCAAAAGAAGTATTTGATCACGTTAGGCAGTGAACGAACCAATCAATGCGGTCTGGTCAATACTGACCTGAGGCGGATCGATCTTGTCCACATGAGGTGCGTACGTGCGTGTGATGGAGGGTCGCAACGGTCAATCATGTGATGGGCACATCACTCGACTGCAAGCCACAACATTCGGCGACGCGGACAATGAACCTGCAAAGGGCTAGTTACTTACATGCCCCATGAAATTCTGGGGTGATCCTGCTGAAAGACCGTCTGTTGAAGCATGGAATACCTGGAAAACTACATTTGCAGACTATTTGGATCTACTGTGTGTATCTTCCCCGGCGTTGCAGCTAACCGAAGATGACAAAATCAAATTCCACCGGCACCATTTGGGCCAGGAAGGTAGATGGCTGTTTGACGCACTTGATCTGAAAGTCAAATCAAGTCTACAAGACGTTTTTCATGCATTGTACAAATACTGGGACATTCGTCCTAATATCTTCGTTTCCAGATACAAGTTTTCTTTGGTAAAGCAAGCAACTGATGAAGACTTGTCTACGTTCATTTCCCGTTTATTGCGCGCATCACGTCCCTGTGATTAAGGTTCCGTACCCGCGGTTCAATTCGTGGAAACATTACCAATTCAGCAATTAATTTTTGGAGTTAATAATCATGACATACGTAAAGAATTGATAACAATCGACACCGCACAGCTGACTTGGGACCATGTATGTGACACTGCTAGAGCTAAATGGGATTTAAAGGACAACTCGAAATTTTCCGTTCTGATTCTCAGACTACTGTATCCCGGATAGACATGTGCCACCGTGACAGGAATACTACAACCAATCATGCATGTTTTCGCTGCGGAAGTAAAAAGCACAGAGCTGTTTATACAAACTGTCCAAAATTACCATCAATGTGTTTCTTCTTCAACAAATTGGACCAGGTTGCTCGTGCGTGTCGCTTTCACTCTGTTTATATATACTATATATATACATATATATATATATAAATACTATATATATACCATATATATATACCATTCGGCTCTCCTTGAAGCCATCTAACTACAGTACAGGTTCTGTTCGACCTACACGCAGGTTTCAACCTGATTGTTTGAATGACATTTCTCTTCGATCCGATGGAAACGAGAAAATTGACAAACGTAACGTCATTTCTTCCATACAAGCTATACGTTGTGACCTTTCGTCAAACAACCTTACAAAAGACGATTATTATCCAGCGCACACTCAAGAACATGATTCGAACCTTCCGCGCAGTCCGTTTTCCAGAGGAGGATCTGGCCCTTCCCAACTCTTCCCTCAATGTGGCAGCTCAATTTCATACGTCCGTACTCGTCCGGTGCAAAACAACAAGCGGAAAAGTGTCATCTTCAAACCGCTATGTTTAAAAACGAATTCGGCTTAAGAAACGTGTAAGTTCTCAAATGATTACCAAATGATTTCCCGATATCTGCACGCTTCGTCTAAATGCATTACACGAAGGCGAATGCGTTTTTGCGGCATCGAGTCATGTGGGGAGATTCAGTTTATCAGGAATCAGCTTCTATTGATCCAGGCCCATTACGGATTTCTTCCGAAAAGAAGAGCTGATGTTGTGGCCTGCAGTCGAGTGATGTGCCCATTACATGATTGATCGTTGCGGCCTGCCACCACACTTACGGACGCACGTCATGCGGACTTACCCTGCTACAAGGTTGATTCAGTTCAGCGAATCAGAGGTCAGCATTGACCAGTCCGCATTGATTGGTTCGTTCACTGCCCAGTGTGACGACGCTCCTTTTGGTAAGACTTGCGCAAGTTCTGTGCCTGCCTGTCTGTTCGCGTGTTGACTCACTGCTTGCTCACCGACTTACGGACCGGCTACGTTTGCGTTTACATACTGGAAATGTGATAGCTACTTAATTCACTCTTTGCCTATTTAATGACTCATACTTGATACAACACAACCGAACCATGGACGTTCTGCGCAACGGTTGTAATGAGTCTATACTTGGTTTACACAAAACTAGCTTTTTTTCTTGCAGATGTCACTGGATTCTGCGAATTTTTATCCAACGGTTTTGTTCATTCACTTAGCGTGCAAATACATTTTGTTGCCACCCGACGATTACATTGATATATCCTCTTGACCTCAAAGTTTGCTAATAGATAAATTAATTTGTGCAATATCCTTTTTCCTGTGTCCATGTCCTCCATCACGACCACCCTGTTTGAACTAGTTCAGTTTCATATCAAAAGTTGCCATCCAACTTAATCTTAATCCCGTAACCGAGCCCAATTCATGCAACTCACTTGTCCACCTCTTTGATCGAATGACTCATTTCTATCCCTACGTTGCTCTGTTTAACATGATCGCATTAATGAGCATTCACAGCTGAATGAGAGCACGTGAAATTGATGATCAATAGTGTAGTGACAGCATCACCTGACCGCATATTTACCATTTCCCATATTCGAACCTCGTTATTTTACAGGACGCAAACCACCTAGTTGGTTACGGTACGTTGAATTTCACCTTCTGCACGCTTACTCACCAGAACGCTTCTCTCTCAATGCTCCAAAGGTCAGACCAATAAAATGTCGTTCAGGCATCATAATATCAATCGTTCTCTTTTTGGTTCGTTCCTTCGTCCGTTGCTCGATTTACGTATTCGTAGACACCATTAGTGGTGGTGGTTAGATAATCGATAGACGGAGAACCGATACAGGACACGGACAGAATTCATATGGTTTAACCAACAGAAAGTGACGATGAAGGTCACAGGTGAATCCGAACGGTTGGAGTCATACGATGTGAGTGATGTGTGCGTCTGCGTGTCCATGTACTTTTCTGAGTTTGGGAAAATTGTGCACTCGCTTGGATGTGTAAGAGCTCGATAACCAGGACCAGACGATAAATGGAACGAAGGAACCATAAATGATTTTAAGAAACAGAAGTAACAATCACTCATGAACAACGCTTATGGATTGTCCACACAAATGCGGAACAGCAAGTCGCCGGATTTGACGAATGAATCACTTTCAACCAACGAACAAATGTGTACCACTAGGTAGGAAAAGAGCTTACTTTTCGAATACAGTTTATTCGCAATTTGACCGAGAAAACAACGAAATTTCCACTTTCACTAATGGATTGTTATCGTTTCACGTCAAATTTTCGATTACCGGAGGTCGCCATTTGAGTTCTTCCAGAGTGCACGAAGTGAAATACAAAATACTGTTGGATGTATATACCAGTCTAAAAGCATTTGTTTCTCAATTGATGACTACATCAGATGGGTTGACCAAGGATGCACTGAGGGATGCCGAAAAATAGCGAACGGCATGCTTAGTGCGACAACAATGAAGAACGAGCTGAAGCACGGAGTTTCAGAATCATTTATTTTGTCTTCGAGTACACTGTTCACCAAACGAATTTAATTCTAGTGCAGCGAGATTTGTTTACAACATCCTGCTTCTCTAGATAGCAGAGCAATCAGGTTGACCAAACTACGGCTGATTTCGTATCTTGTCGAAACTAATTACGATATGAATGATGGCCTAACGCGTTCCGTTTCTTGTATACTTGCATGGTCAGGGTGGTTGTCGTGGGTTGCGGCCAGTCACCCTTCCTTTGTACCTCAGAAAATGCCTGCATAGGACTAAGCTTTTGAAATAGCCTCTGCTTCGGAACCCCTACTCACTACCTTCTCATGCTGGTGTTTTCCCAGCAGAGGGAGGACGAAAAGCCGAAATACGGGTCGGTGATCCATCGGGAGTTCATCCAGGGGAGTTGGTTAAAATAACTGATTCGAAACGAACCAAAAAGAGGCGTACTAATCACACTCATCCACACCTTGGTTTTGGGTGGTGTTGGATGTGGTCTTCGGCTGGATTGTACATCGACGTATTTTGAGCACCTTGGACGTTTGACCCCGTCCAGAGGGCATATGATCCGATGAGCTGGACACCGGCCCTCAATGGATTGCGGTTTTCATATACCGTCTCGTTCCCTTTTGGATCGGGTTTTCAATAAGCAAAGGCTTCGGTTGTGAATTCCCCCAGAAAATTCACCTGTCTTGGCCTGGACAACCTAGCAGTATCGCCCTGACAAACAAATCAAAGAACTTTCTCTTTTTATCACAATCATTGAACTATGATTTGTTTGGCGCAAAGTCCTAATCCACATGAATCTAAAACACATCAAGCCTATATCTGCCGTCGATTTGCTTAGCCATACCTATACTTCGCAACCGTTCATAATGCAACCTAATTCGTGAAATAATTTCAGGTTTCCCGATGTGAAAACTCATTTGGATAAAAATTCATGAATATCCCCTCAACCAATTGCTTCTTTACCCCTGATAAATGTATGTACACCTAGACATTCTGAATTTGAACAGATACTGGTAGCTGTTATTCGCTTTCCATCTTTGAAGACAAACTTGCATGTGAATAAACGGATGTCAACTGACATCCATTTCCGTTTCGTTTCATGAGTGAATTCAGTTAACCATACATATGGAAAATACCATATCCTATGGTATCTATGGTATAAACTTCGGATCCCTGGCGTGGACAGCGTGTGTTACAAGTGTGCCCGTCGGGTTAAAGCAAACAAGTTACGATCACGAATTCAAGATTGCTAAGATATCACTTACAATGACTACTGGCCCGTCAAACGGTAAAGCATATCCGTCGTCAGTAAAGCCAAACTCAAATATGGGTCTTCCGGAGTTTGAACTCCGATCAGGATGACGGATGACGTGATAGGTAGTGGGGACCAGTATTGATAATTCCCATAGTATTACCCATAAGTAGGCGTGAGTCAAGGTGAAACTACAATTCACTTAATAGGTTGTGATCTGAAGTGGTTTTATTTTCGAAGTTCAAAGGTAGACTTACCAATATCATTCATCTGGTCCAAATCCTGAAGGGCGTATCTCTTGTCTCGGTTGTTAAACACTTTTTTCAGTGGACTTAAGCCCAACAAACCCCGAGCAGGAGCATGGTAAGGCGTGCCGAAGAAGTCCTCAAGCACTGTTGTTGGAGTGTTGTTTAATTGGTGCTGGTTGGAGATACTTCTGATAGGAGGTAGAAATGAACCAGAAGGGATGGTTGAATTGCGCCTAGAATCGTTGCCTCGTCCGGGAACCGGTTGACCATCAGAATCCAAATTGTGGTTGCTTGATTGTGTAGTCGTTTTCTTTCTTCCTCCGTCTTTTTCAAAAGCTGAGGGGTGACCAAGTATTTGTTTACCATTAATTGCACTAATTCAATTGTTGCTGCCAATCAACCCGAAAATTTATGATGAAATCTCACTATTAACTTACAAGAAAACTAGTCTTATTTAGGTATTCCTCACTAATTAATGAAGTAATAATGAAATAGGCATCCCGTGGTGAACCGGGACAGTTGCGAACCCAAACGTCTGCTTCTATCGGAAGGATTCGCCCCATTCTGAGACTGTTTAACAGAAAATATCATAATCCACTCTCTAGGTCGAATTCGTTGAGTAGGACTCAGTCATTTAAGTAAAATCAGAGAAATAATTCCCAAAAGAGCCAGTCAAGAGGTGATGGTTTAAAGAACAACAGATAGAAATTAGGAATTAAAAAAACACATCACGAGTAAAAAATCAATCGATAATTCAGCAGTTGGCTCTCAGTTACGCAACTGTATTATCGATTGTATGCTTTCAGGGCAAACTCTATTCTAAGCCGTGCAGCTTTTTTATCACGAATAATTCCTATCAGGTGATGATTCGTCCTTTTTCAAGATCGTTATAGTCAACTTCCTATTCAGTATAGTTGGGACACTCATGTGATAACTCTTTGCGTCCTAACCAGAGCAATCATGTCCAAAAGTTATTCCGTTTTTCTAGTCAAGTTTGTTAGTTGCTTTGTCTTATAATTACTCACTAGTGGTTCTGAAACTACTTAAACTATCCTGGTTGTGGTGCTTTGAGTCTCACAACCTTCTGGGTCCTATCACGCCATTTGTTTGGTTGATCGTCAATCCCTATAACTGATTAAAATTGATTCTCGCAACTTGCCCAAGATTGGGAGTTACCTCAGCCACGATAACTGTCAGAATAAGCCGGCCGTAAATATGAACTCATGGAGGAAATTTGTCTTACTAATCAGAAATTGTGTATTTCATGTGCATTCAAATAGGCGACCTTGGACACTCGTGATTGGGATGACAATGAGTAGTATTTCTGTTAAAATGTTTCACAGACAGAACAAACTGTTCACGATCGTATTTGCAGGGAGACCAGGACAGAAATAAAACCCAAGGAGAGAATCAATTTCCCAATGATGCTCATATTTTTAATTTGTGCAAGGTGATCAGTATATGCCTGATCACTCTTCTATATATGAGTTTAGGCTTTCTCTGGCTCACGTGACCCACCCAACAGACACTCTGTTTGATTCTCCCCAAATACATTTCATATAATTCCGACGGTACAGAGTTGAGAATTAATTCTCCCAAAAGATGTGAGTTCTTTGAATAATATACAGTTATTTATTAGGCGAATGGGTTTTTAATTTGATAAGACAGCGTTCAAACCGGTGTCATTTTTTTCATTTTCATTATTTATTAGTAACAGAACTTAATTTAATGATTTATTTGATGAACGCATTCATACAATATTTCAAGTGGAATGGCAGAAGGCTCTTTGGCATCACAGTTTGAAATTCCCATTGATCAACCACCATCTACTTTGAACCGAACTTTGAAAGGAGAATAAATGGGAGTACTGGAGTAACAGTTATTTGGTATATCCTTAGTATAGTTTGAGAGGAAAAATGCTATCTTAATCACCTAGTCCATTCCAACGTTCCCTGAAATCATTTGTTCAAACAACTTATTGTACTAAGCATCAATATAGTGTTTGTATGAATGAATAGATCCGCATGATTTTGTAGGAGCATTAGGATCATTAAATGAGTAGTTGGTCCACCGTATTCACTCGTTGGCATTAACGATTCATAGATGTGTATACACCGATCGAACTGAAACTGAATGTACCTGTTATTAGTGGCAACGGATGGATTGAGGTGTCCAAGGATTGCGGTTCGTTATATTTTCTATCTGAACTAGCGTAATCTTCGGCAGTATCGGCAGCTTCGGAGGACTGAGTGGAAAGATGGAAACTCGATGGTTTTCTTGTTGTCACATCACTGGATAGAAGAGAAATCGGACCGTGCATCACCTCATCCGAATCACTGCCCTGTTCTTCCTCGAACTGATATCTTTTACGTTTCTGTTGTTTCCTGGCATTGAGAGAAGAACGTGTGTATAAGACAAACGAAATAAACAGATACTCATCAGACATTCAGACAACAGGGAAGAGACCTAGGGATAAATACCAAACTGTGTCTAAATGTACTCTGTCAAAACGTTTTACTCAAAATCACAGCAGGGTTTTGTACCAGGAAAAGTGTTGCACAAATGGAATACTCCTGTTTCGCTCACACATTTAACCATAACTGTCAAATAAGGATGTATTTATCTCTAAATATTTGCAATAGGTTAAGCGTTTAGTATTTTGGAATTGACATGAAAATCAGGCTCAAAGTCAGATAATATTGATCTCCAATCAATTATAGGCTGTTTAAAATTGACTGAAGTACTTTCAATATCCAGTTTTGTTTGATTTGACTCTCTCCAAACTACAATGTGATCAGCATGCGATCGACTTTTCTCAATACACAAAACCAATGTTTCCTTTACAAACACCATTTCCGCATCTGATTGACCTTAATAAATAACGCTTGATGCGTGATTGCCATTTTCAAGATTGCCAGAAATATTCCGTTCACTGAATCCAGATAAAGATTATCAACTCCGTTTCATTTGGTTAACTTGATGAAAATGTGTTCACGATGTTCTTCATGCTTCACGTAAAAAGGATTTTGAAGAATAAACAAATATACTTTTATCTGCGTAACTTCGCGTGGTAAACAGCAGAATTATTGCACTCCATAGACACGAGGATCTACTGGTCGAAACTTTCAGTCCCCTTCATCCATTTCATCAATGCAGAAAGAAGACAAATGTTGCGAGATGTAAACATTCCATTTTATCTTCTCAATCGCTGACTTGAAAAAATAGGCACATATATAGCACATCGCTTTGTCCAATACAACTATTACTAAATATAGAAGTAGAAGATCTACACGGAAAGTGGATTGATTCTTTCAAAGACGTTTATGTGTATAAAGTCGGCTGATGTAATCGAATGAGCAACTCTTAACCAAATACTAAAAGCTTAGCATTATGATTGCTTAAAATTGGTTTGAAAGAAAAATTAAGGTTAACTGAGTATCTTGTTGTCATGGAGTGTCTCGCACCAGATGACCCGGATTTCTTGTGACCATTTGACCACCAGGTT